TGCACTTGCTTATCGATCATTGCTGGTGGAGGTCGACCCTCTCGCGACCAGCTCTTGTGGGTTTTATGGGTCGTGGTGGTACTTCTACCCACCCTGCGAGTCACTGCTTTCGCTCGATGATTTGATAAACATAACTTGGTTGGTTCGTTATTGTCCTGCCTGACTTAACTTACTCCTAGCGGATCAGAACCGCGTCACTTTAGTAAAGCGGATGGTAGCTCTCATACACGGAATGGTAAAGACGTCGCCTTGCCTGGAACTGAGCTCTCCACGTCCAACTGGTTTGAAAGAGTGGGATCGTAGTGTGGCCACAGTATGGCCGCATAGAACACTGTTTTTTCGTTGGGATAGTCTAAATATGAGTCGATCCCTAATGTGATGCGACCATGAATGGTCCGATAAAGCGCGGTCGCAATTTAGAATTATACATTGCAGTCATTGAACGTGAGTTGCTATTTAACAGCAGAAATGCTTTAGTATACATTCGAGAGGTTGTTTGTACTACGCCAAGTTGATATCTATTTATTACGGACACCCTATCCCTCACTGAAAGTGAAGCCTCTTTGTGGTGATGTTTCAGGTAGATGGGGCTTATCTAAATATTTATGTTAAATGAGATGAAGCCGGTCGAGTCATAAGCAGCATCATTCAACACATACTCAATGAGCGGGGCTCTACCCAGCACCGCAGCCTTTTGGTGTAAGTGCTTGAAAAGACATTGCTCACATCGCGATGTACGCATTTCATCTGACCATCTGTTTGCGAATGGTCGGGGGTAGACAAATATAATTGGCTGTCGAGCACCTTTGATTATGATTTTCAAAGTTTGTTGTAAACCATGAATCTATCAATTACAATGGCTACCGGCAAACCATATTGGCGAAGCACTTTGTCAGGGAACAGCCTGACTGTGTCTTCACCAACCTGACAACAGTGATGTGAGCCGTCTTCATCAGGTAGTAGACAAAGAACACAACACCGGTAATCTTGCTTCAGTCTCTTGGAAAACCGAAAATAAGTTTTATACTGTGGTACTGTCCGCATTCTGCTGGAACCAGTAGGCTGACCAAATGCGCCGGGCATGCAATGAGGATCTGACCCGATGACACGTTTCACGCGCACACATACGTATATTCCCAATTATATGCTAGCCATCGATTCGTAGCGCTCATCGAGCAGTATACCTTTTCGAATGACTACCATAACATGACTCGTTTAGCTCAATGGATTGAACGATCTTATTCTGAGAAAGCACTGCACAATAGGTGTCATGTGGGTCACAGCAAGCCTGGGATTGAAGCATAGCAGTGTGCCTTGAGAATGCGGCATTTGCGTGCTCAACTCCTTGATTCGCAAATTCTTCAGCAGCACAACACATTACACATCTGAACCGCTCATTCCATGTATCGCCTTATCGTTGTGCACATCGGCATCGCCACCACAGTTTTCTACTGAATGAAAGGATGTATATTCTTCTGTGCCATGTATACATTTTAGGTTAGGTATTAAATGGATTCGTTTGATGTGCTGGAGGACGCGCTATTGCGTCGTCTTGAAAAGAAAAAATCGAATTTTACAGCGGTGAAGTCGAGTAACGACTTAAGAGATGTGTGGATCACTTAAGCAGTCAGCTTGACTATGGGATATTTTAGTGCAAGTTGCTACTTGTCATGAAAAGAACATGCTCTCAGCTGACAAGACTTAAACGCGATCTTGCATTTATGCCGATTTGACGTCTACATGACGCTAAGCACAGCTAATTGAACAAAATGAAATGTCAAACCTTATGTGATTGAGTCGATTTACATTAAAAAGGCTGAAATGCGGGCACGCATGAGGTTTCGTTCGAAACCTTAAAGCTCTCCTCTTCCACCGCACCCCCACACCAATTTGCATCCCTTTTCAAAGAGAATGACGATGTTTTATTTGTGCCATGTCGGTATAGGTTCAGAGTATTTGTACATATAACGGGCCAAAATAAGCTTCTTCTTCATACAGTTTTGTATACAAGAGTCACTGGTCAATCAACAATGGTCTTTATCTTTTTGGGATTGCCCGCATGTTCTGCTTGGCAGCAATGCAACTCAAAACGGTTTTGTCAAATACGAACCTGTCTGCATCAAAGAAGTGCTTATTTGAGCGCATTATTTTCAGCAACGCTTGCATGTGCTCAATGCGGTTCGCCTCATCCGACTCCCTGTTCTCTACACTCCGAATAATCCATAGAAATGGGTTTGCTCATAGCCACGATAGAGGATGAGCAGCTCTGTTACCAGTCGAACGGCGATTGCTGGTGAATTAGACGATCTCCGTGGCATAACCAGCCAATTTCAGAGCATCCAGCCCCAAATACTCCTCACGGCGATAGGAATATTGCTGTTCATCGTCAGTAGCAGTAACAACCATCAGTTAGGTCGATAAAACTGAACAAAATGCATCCTACCAAGCTATCTGCATCACTAGAACGGAAAGATCGACATATGATATATTTGTGCATGCCCACTATGTAGCTTAGACAGCTGTGTCATCAGTCTAATAAGCGCCGCTGGTACACTGTTGCATAAAAGTCAGTTCCACAGCATCTAGCTTGGCATTCTTATAGCAGTGAGTGGAGTATTGCTGCTTTTATTCAGTGAATTCTAACGAGCATCAATTACGTAAACGGCACGGATCGAGGCGTGTTGTTCTGTAGCGCATCCTCTCTAGTAATCGGCGTTTGCGCCAGAATCGTGTCTGCATTTAGCTTTGTATAGTCATGGATAAATAGCCACTCTTTCTGACCTAAAAATTGGCGCCGAATGGTAGAATAAACTTTATCTGACCTTGCCGCTTCGTGGTTCACGCTTAATCAAAGCGACAAGTAACATCACGCCGTTCTTTTAGCATGGGCAATTGCTGTGTGGCCAACACAAACTACCAATCGATGACCCACATTGCAATCGGGGACAGCACGCATGGTGAATCCTATCTAACCACATCGTGATCATTCAGAATCGTATAAAGCCAATCCATTGAACGTGTTGAATGGTCTGTTCTACTCCTCGCAATCAACGCTCTTCTATTGTCCTCGATGACATTTATCATGTGTGATAACGAGCTCAGCCCCTTCATAGGCACATTCCGTTCCAATTTGGTGATCTAAGAGCCTAGCCATTCTTCGCACACATCCCTAACGGATAGATTTCCAGCTTCGAAAGATTCTACCGGATATAATGAGGGAGGTGTAAATCCCCTTGGACTACCCAGTCACCCTATTCACAAGTAAATAATCCTTCTCGCAACATAATCATGAAATTACGATGGGTTCATCATGCCTTAGGCCTAAATCGGCAGTGCGGTCGCTTTGTAATACGGATAAACCATATACCGTATTTTTGATGCCTAGTCTGTTCACTCGCGACTTGCAGTCGCCCTTTAACTCCACTGGCATTGACGCGGACGGATATGACATCACGTCGCTTCCCCCTGACACAGAAGACAACAGCTCGCAGCCGTTCTTCGCTTTTTAATTAGTTTAGAATACCGCGATATACAACCACCCTTTCCGTCTCATTCTGAGACCTCTTCGGACTTCTGAGCTCAGCACGAAACACCTTGCAATATCATTGCAACAATCTCATGCCCCACACGGAGCTTCGTGCCCGCACCAAGCGTTATGTTGTTCCCTGACAAATGTGGTTTTTATGTCTCGTCAAAGCAGAGATGATTGCAAGGCATCTAAACTTCTCGACTTTTAATCAACCCATTAATATTGACGTTCCAGCTACGTCATACTTGTTATGAAGTCGTATTCAAAATTCCAATTCAGTGAAAGACAACGTTTCGCGCTGTCCAAGTTCTCAGACATTACTCAAAATTAACCCAAACCTTCGATGCTTTAATCTTTTTCCCGTATTAAGCTTCACGCTTATCGTATTAATTTAGGCAGTTTTGCCTCCATGTACTGTCTAATGTCTGAGCGCTGTACGTGATTGCACGACGCTCCTGAAACCCTTTATGGATTCACAAAGCCTGGAACGCTGATATTAAAAGCAGCAACCGAGGCGGACGGATTGGTTTTTCATATAGAAACTTGCTGCTGGGTATCATTGACCATGACCGACAAGAGGTTGTTGAACAAAATAGGTAGCCCGATACGCTACCCCTGCGCAAGATTGCTGCAAATGTC